CCACATTCCATAATATGCAAAAGACAAGTTAATCTATATACATAAATATTAGGTATTCAATACAGAACCTAAAATCCAACTCTAATAATGTAAATCGCTACACAATTTGCACACATTTACATTCTCCATCATAATCCATGAATTGATACAATTTAGTACAATTTTAAGTATCAATTAAACCCAAGTTAAGCATAGGGAAATTCAGTTAATTCACTATACTTCAAATACTATAGAATTATGATTTATATATATATTTAAATCATACACAACAACCTTGCCAAGCTCCGGTATATAAACCTAGCAAATCCTCCAATATAGTCCACGAATTGATACAGTTAATAGAAATTTGAGTATCAATTAAACCCAAGCTAAGCATAGGTAATTTCAGTTAATTCACCATACTTATAACACTATGGAGATATGATTATATATAATTAAATCATATAAAAACTTTGACAAGTTCCGGTAAGTAAAAACTAGTAAAAATAGTGTGCATCCTACATGCCTTTCCCTTAGGTTCTTCTTGCCCTATTCCTTAATCAGATTATGAATTTATGTCTCCTCATAATTTTACAGGTTTATGACCATCATATATATCACTTAAAATAGTTTAAACGAAGTAAAAAATCTCTGTATAGTCCAAACACAGCCTAAAAACCAACAATACGCAAAACTGGGCGTTTAAAACGAAAAATCCCAACTGAGCAAGCTAAGTTACAACTGAGCAGGCTAAGTTAGAAACTTAGTTGGTTGAGTTGCTAACTTAGTCGGCTGAGTTGATAACTTAGTCGGCTCAGTTTCCAACTGAGTCGGCTCAGTTGGTGCTGAAGCTGTTTTCTTCGTCTATTCAGCCTCTATAAACCCTAAAACTCCATTGTTAATGCCTTTAAGCTTCAACCTATGTCCCATACACCCATACTAAATTATTTTAAGTCTTTTAGTAGGCAAAGAATCAACTTAAACAACAGTTCATGCATAAAGATCAAAGAAATAAAGAAATCACAAACAAGTATATATATACATGAACCTCTCTATTTTAGTCTGATTAAGCATGCATGATTATTTCGTTTTAGCATTAATTAAACCCCTGGAGTCTAGCTAGGCATGCACAGAATAGAAGTTTATAGGAATGAGATAGAATGAAACTTGCCTTTAGGTTTCAGTTTGAAACCTAATAACGCCGTCTCTAAATTTCAGAATTCCAAGACTGTTCTCCACCTCAATTCACTGTTCTCCTCCTTTGTTGCCTCTTGGTTCCACCCACGAGCAACTCCCTTTCTTCCTCCTTGAGACTCTATATGTTTCGCTCAAGCCTCTCTCTGTTCTCTCTTACGTTTCCCTCGGTTTTACCTCTCCAGTCGTGAATAGGGTTTTCCAACTCTAACAGACTTATACCATTTTATATATATAGGTTTTTACGGAAACCTAATTCTAATTCCAATTAATTCTAAGTCGGCTACACCATGAATAAACGAAACCCTAAATTTAAATTCAAAACAACCATCTAAAATATAAACCATATAAGCCATATACAACACACGTCAATTAAAACCAATTAATCAACCAATTAAATTAAAACAAATAAACAATTAATTCAAAACAAATAATCAATTAAATAAAATCAAATCCAAAAAAATAAACAATTACAGTTAAATAATTAATTTAAAGAAATACACCAATACAATTTAAACAATTAATTTCCATAAACACAATTAATCAGTTAAGGAACAAAACACATAAATCACACAATTAAATAAAATGCAATAACAACAAAATTAAATTCCCATTTTATCCTTTTGAAAACTAAGGGTATTACAGTGGTAATGAGGATATTCCGACATCTAAAGTTCTATTTGCTGGAGATGATCCTGATGCTTGATTCTAGGTTCATATCATATATGCATCACTTTTTGCTTAGTTTTTACATTGTCATGGCTTGATATTTTTGGATATTCTGTTTTGGTTTTTGACATGTATTAAACTGATTCGTGTTTACTTTATTTTAGTATTATTTCTTTCTGGTTATACATTGTTCGGGTTATTTTGCTATTACTTTGTCAATTTTGTTCCAAAAAGGGGGAGAACAAGGTTACATTACGGGCGAGAAAAATCTAAAAAAAATTTGGATAATTTATTCAAGGGGAGTTTTAAACTTGTTTATTAAACTTTCACTGGTAGTTTTGCTTGAACTATGTGCAGGAATTCAGGTAAATTTTGTCCAAGAGCTGAAGTGAACAGAGATAAAATATTTCCTTGGTTCCTTAAACAATTGTAATTTATTTTTCTGTTTTAGGTAGATTATACATTGTTCTTAGGGTTTTGTCATGAAATTGCCAAAGGGGGAGATTGTGAGATATATTTTTGTAAATTGGCTTATTTTAGTAACAAAACAAGTCATAGTCGAGTTGTAATTTCAGTTACCATATCTGACTTGACATCGACTGTGGAATTGGAAGTTTGTTCAGAAGAGGAAAGTAATGTTGATCATCGAAAAAGAAAGAACAATGATTAAGACATCGTTTCCCACTTAGGACACATTGATATACATGGTATATTTTCAAAGTTCAAAAATTACAGAATTTCCAAGTTCATATTGGATTCTGTCAAGTGGGAACTGGTTCCAAGTTCTAATATACGAGAATAAACTCACTATCCTTCAGGAACCAGTACCAATATTGGGAACCGGTTCCACAAGTCCTAATTACAAAAGAACTCCAGTTTCCTTGATCTGTTTAATACCTTTTTTTTATCCAACTTTCGTTCCAAGTCCTGTGCACGAAATTTCCTTTATTTACAGAAGGAATAGGACTTTGCAAACCTCTAAATAAACCATGTCATATTGAGGATGCGGCAAGTGGCATGGGCCGGATATGGTTCGCGAGAGTGAGGTCGGGTTGAATGATTAAAGTAGGATCTATGGCAAAGCGCCCTGGAATGGGCCGAACCTGAGGGATCTACCGAGGAAGGTCAAGCCCATTGGAAGACCAAGCCCAGAAGGAAGAGAGCTTTCGAATTTAGGCCCAATGTAATTGGTTAGCATAAATAAGGGTGATGGCCTATAAATAGACCATGACAGGTAGAAAGTTAGGGAAGAATGCTAGAGAGAGAGAGAGAATGAGAAGAACTAAAATCTTGTATCTTCAATTGGCGCCGTCTGTGGGAACCGAGGACGAAGATCAATTTGAGCCCGATCAGTACCATATTAGTTCAATCGAGTTTGTGAATACGCAGTGTGATTTCTGGAAATTGAATCCAGATCAGTGAGATTGTAGTCTGTTCCGAGAGAATTCTTGCTTATTGTGGATTCTAAGGCATTTGTTTTAGAATGACGCAATTGTGATTTACTCAGTTGCAGTTAGATCCGACGAGTTTGAAGCTAGAAAAGTTCAGATCTAGCAAACAGCGATCACGATTCGGTGAAGTTAAGCCCAGATCTAGCGGAGTTTGCATCGGTAACGCTTAGATCTATTTTGAAGTTCGTAATTCATGCCTTTGCTTCGATCCAAAATCATGATAGGGGGTGACAACTCTAATACGGTTGAGAATGTCCAGCAAGTGAAACTTGATGAGTTGATGAACATGATCGAAGCTCTCCGGAGAGAAAATGTGGATCTAAGGAATGAAATACAGCGTCAGGAAGCTCCAGTAATTCCACGACCACTCCCGGTAGGAGAAGAAGGTGCACGTACCGATGCAGCACATTACGGTGAGGAGGTTGGAAACAATCTAGTAGATCCTCACCGCGAGGAAATCCGGCGAGACGGTTTGCCGCCAAATCTTCGTCGTATGGATGATCGTGAAGGATCGACTCACGTGGATCCACGGCGTGAGCAGATCAGGCGAAACAAAGCAATGACTTTTGATCCACATCAAGAAATGCTCAGCCGAGGTGAAGCAACAGAGTTGATTCGTCAAAAAGCTATGCCTCCATGGCGCAAGGACTTCGTTAAGGATAGATCATTCGATCCGACCTATCGACCTTCCATGACGACGTTCGACTATCACAGCTCAGAGAGGAGATCAGTAGACCAAAGAGCAGCCGCGGGGTTCCAGAGGGAAAATGAAGCACTCCGTTCAGCAGCTCGAACGGTAGATTCACCGTTCACCGATGAGATTCTGAATGCTCCGAGTTCGAGGAAATTTTCCATGCCCGTTTTCATTCTATTCGACGGAACGACTGATCCGATCGATCATGTGTATCACATCCAGCTAAAAATGGCTCTAAACACTGAGAATGATTCTTTGATGTGCAAGTGCTTTCCTACGAGTCTGGCCGGACCAGCTCTGAATTGGTTCAAGAACCTGCCGAGGGGTTCGGTGGATAGTTTCCGAAGCCTGTGCGATCGGTTCATAAGCTAATACTATGGAAACAAGCGTCCAGCGAAAGATATTTCGAGCTTATTCACAATGAAGCAACACGCTGAAGAGCGTCTCCAGGCTTTCCTAACCAGGTTTAATCTTACCAAGAGCATGGTTATTGAATGTTACCCTTCAATGGCAGTTCAGGCATTCATACTGGCCATGAATCGTGGCACCCCGTTCCACACAAGCTTGGTGGTCAACACGCCGAGGACTATGGATGAACTTAACGAAAGAGCCGATGGATTTGTGTGCTTGGAAGAAGAAGAGGCAGCAAACGCTCGGAAGACATCCGTTATATCCACGGAAGAAAAGACTAAAGCAAATATCAGGCAAAAACAGGTCCAACCGCAACGCTCCTCGTGGAAATCCGAGAAGAGGCCCAGAGAGGAAGAGCTGATTACTCCATTGAAAGTTACCCTAGCAAGACTGTACCAAGAAAATAAAGATAAGTTCCGACCTCCTTTACCAATCAGACAACCTCTCGAACAGAGGGATCAGTCTAAACACTGTGCATTTCATTCTGATTTTGGCCACCAGACTAATGAATGCAGGAACCTAAGGAGACAGGTAGAGATGCTGATAGCCAGAGGGGAGTTCGCAAGTTATATCAAGGACCAGCGGTGGAGCAGAACCGGCCAATGGAGCATGTGAAGAATAATCAGAAGTCGAATTCTCACAACACGCAACCAGTTCGAGTAATTAATGCAATTCACGGTCAGCCAGAACCTGCTGAGGAATCAGATGAACTACTTCGAACACGCCTTCGTCAGGCACGGATGAAGAGAAGGATAGGCAGTGTAAACACTCTACACTAGCAGAGCGCATCAACGCAGATAAAGTTTGACGCAATAGACTTGTTGCGTGTTCAGACCCCTCATGAGGACCCACTAGTCGTAAGTTTAACAGTGGCCAAATGCTTGGTGCGCAGAGTTCTAATTGACCCTGGAAGTAGTGCGAACATCATGCCAAGAGATACATTCAATCAGCTCGAGATCAAACAGGATCAGCTGAAATCTACCGGGAATCCACTATTAGGGTTTGATGGAAAGCGAGTGGAGCCCGTCGGCACGGTGGAGGTAGCGGTACATGCTGCCGAGAGGGTTTTGATGGAAACCTTTGTAGTTGTTGAAATTCATCCCTCTTACAATCTTCTGATGGGCAGAGGGTGGATCCACAGAGTTCGAGGTGTTCCTTCCATTCTGCATCAGGTAATGAGATGCCTGGCACCGGACGGAACCAAAGTGATTGACATTCATGGAGACCAAGTTGCAGCAAAAGAATGTTACTCTGTAACGATGAAACATGCCAGAAAGGGGAAAGCTCCCATTCGTTCAGTAAGTCCGAGATAGCAATTACAGGAGCCTCCCTCCAAGCAGACTGGAGAGGAAGAACCAGTAGGCTTGACTGAAGAACCCCTGCTTGATGTGCAGATCGATCAGTTTCGACCAGAACGAACAACCAGAGTAGGGGAGCGACTCGTTGAGAAGGAAAAGTAGGAATTAGTTGATTTTTTGTCTCAAAATGCAGATGTGTTCGCATGGAGTCACCTAGACATGCCCGGGATCGATCCTTCGGTATCCTGTCATTCCTTGAACGTTAACCCCAATGCAAAACCTGTAAAGCAAAAGCAACGACGGTTTGCCCCTGAGAGCAACCGAATTATTGCCGAGGAAGTTGATATGCTGCTTGATGCGGGGTTCATAAGAGAAGTGTACTACCCCGACTGGCTATCGAATGTGGTCGTTATGCAAAAGAAAAATGGGAAATGGCGCGTATGCATTGATTTTACCAATTTAAACAAAGCTTGTCCGAAAGATAGCTTCCCGCTGCCAAAGATTGATCAGATAGTGGATGCAACTACTGGATATGAACGCTTGACCTTTTTAGATGCTTATTCGGGTTATAATCAGATCCCCATAGACCCCGCTGATGAAGAAAAAACTTCTTTCGTTACTGAACGCGGGACGTATTGCTACAAAGTTATGCCGTTCGGACTAAAGAACGCCGGGGCAACTTACCAAAGACTTATTAGCAAGATTTTTAAGGAACAAATAGGGAAGATAGTGGAGGGTTACATTGATGATATGGTGGTCAAAAGTAAGAAGAAAGCTGATCATGTGCAGCATTTTCGAGGCGTGTTTGATGTTTTGCGGCGATATGGAATGAAGCTCAATCCGACTAAGTGCTCGTTCGGTGTAAGTTCAGGCCAATTCCTAGGGCACGTGGTTAACCTCAGAAGCATCGAGGCAAGCCCTGCCCAAGCAGATGCTCTGACTAAGAATGTCGAGCCAACGACAATCAAAGAAGTGCAAACACTTACGGGACGGATTGCTGCACTGAGCCGTTTCATTTCCAAATTGTCAGATCGATGCAAACCATTTTTTGACACAATTTGGAGCCACGGCAGGCAGGTTTGGGGAGATGAACAACACCTAGCATTAACTGCTCTGAAAAAATATATGCAAAACCTTCCGGTACTGTCAGCTCCAGAATCAGGCGAAAAACTGTTTTTGTATCTCGGAGTGTCCAGCATCACGACAAGTGGCGTTCTGGTCCGCTACGCAGAAGGGAAGAAATATCCAGTGTTCTATATTAGCAAGACAATAACTGAGTTCGAAAGACGTTATTCAAAGGCAGAGCGGGTGATACTCTCGCTAGTGCATGCGAAAAGAAAGCTCAGACATTATTTTGAATCCCATCCTATTATCGTTCTAACCACTTTCCCTATCAGAATAATCCTGCACAAACCAGATCTCTCCAGAAGAATAACGAAGTGGGCTATAGAGTTAAGCTCATTTGATATCACATACGAACCTAGAACAGCAGTCAAAGGGCAGGCGGTGGCAGATTTTTTACTAGAATGTGATTTAAAGGACGTGAAGGAGGATCTTTGTAAGTGCTTATGGAAACTCTTCGTTGATGGATCCTCAAATCAGATGGGTGCAGGCATTGGGATCAAACTGCAGACGCCAGAAGGTACAGCCTTAAGCCAAGCGCAACGGCTTGAATTCGCAGCCACGAACAATGAGGCAGAATATGAAGCGTTGCTGGCAGGAATAAAGCTTGCCAAAGAACTTAAGGTCAGGAATTTGAATGTTTTTAGTGACTCACAGTTAATCGTTCAGCAGGTGAGGGGTAAGTATGAAACCAAGGATGAAACGATGGAAGCATATCGTTCTGCTGTTATGCGGGAGGCGAAGAACTTTGAAAAAATTGAATCCATTCAAATTTCAAGGGAGTATAATGAAGATGCCGACAGGCTAGCATGTAGCGCCTCAGGTTCTGGAGAAACATTGGTAAGGGTGGTTCCAGTGGGAATATTAAATCAGCCATCCATTTTCGAAGAACCTTCAGGCTCAGATCCTTGGCAAGTGAATGTTATTCCATATGAGCCAAGTTGGATTGATCCGATCATAACTTACATCCGAGATGGTACTCTGCCTGAATAAAGAATGAGGCTAGGAAAATCAAAGCGAATGCTGCAAAGTACGCCATAGTGCATAACCAATTATACAGAAGATCTTTTTCCGGACCGTACTTAAAGTGTGTTACCCTCACAAAGGCTCGGCAAATATTACGAGCTATTCATAAAGGCGTATGTGGAAACCACTCAGGGGGGAGATCATTAGCACACAAGGCAATGGCTCAAGGGTACTTCTGGCCAAACATGTCGCGAGATTCGGAAGCATTGTCCAGAAGGTGCGATAAGTGCCAAAGGTTCGAACCACTGATCCACCAACCGCCTGAAGACTTGCATGTAATGGCCACACCATGGCCTTTCGCACAATGGGGGATAGATGTAGTTGGTCCTCTACCAACTGCCATAGCTCAGAACAAGTATGTGTTACTGGCTACAGACTACTTTACTAAGTGGGTGGAAGCAGAGCCATATCCGAGCGTTACTCAAACTCATGTGAGACGATTCATTTGGAGTAATATTATTTACCGGTTTGGTGTTCTGAGGTCAATCGTCATGGATAATGGTACTAACCTTGACAGTAAGCAAGTAAGAGAGTTGTTGGAGAAGTATAGAATTAATTAAAAGCTGGCAGCAGTAAGTCACCCACAGGCCAATGGACAAGGGAAAATTACGAACAGAACAATCTTTACTTGTATCAAGAAGAAACTAGAGGAAAGGAAAGGAAGGTGGTTAGATAAACTGCCGAACATCTTATGGGCCTACAGAATAACTCCTAGACGACCGACCAGAGAAAGCCTATTCACCATGGCGTATGGAACCGAGGCAGTTCTACCAGTCGAGCACTTAGTTCCGACTGTTCGAAGCTTGGCATGGAACCGTGAGCATAATGACAGTATGCTAAGGTTTAACCTCGATTTGCTGGAAGAAAAAAGAGACGCAGCAGTGGTAAGGCTCGCATCTTACCAGCAGACGTTTGCGAATAGCCATAATAGGAAAGTAAAGCACCGAGACTTTAGGCCAGGTGACCTGGTTCTGAAAAATAAGGTAGGGTTAGTCAAAAAGATGATGCTACCATGGGAAGGCCCATACAGAATTGCAGAGGCCATAAGAAAAGGCGCATATACCTTAGAAACCATGGCCGGAAGGCTGGTTAACAAGCCTTGGAATGCTACTTCTCTAACGAGGTATTATCAATAAAAAGTTGAGATTCGGTACTGAATTTTGTTTATTTCAAATTGAAAACAGTTGAATGTATAAGTTTCTGAGATTTATATGGATTGCACTCCTCTTTAACATCTTAAGCAAATAAGTGGCAACTGGCACTATGAGCCAAACGCCAAACACTTGTTAAGAAAAATAGAGGGCCAAGTGGCAAGTGGCGTCCCAGCCGAGCGCCAGGCACCTATGCAAAGTAAGTGGCAGCTGGCACTATGAGCCAAACGCCAAACACTTGCTAAAAAAAATAGAAGGCCAAGTGGCAAGTGGCGTCCCAGCCGAGCGCCAGGCACCTATGCAAAGTAAATGGCAGCTGGCACTATGAGCCGAACGCCAAACACTTACTAAGAAAAATAGAGGGCCAAGTGGCAAGAGGCATTCCAGCGGAACGCCAGGCACCTAGGCAAATAAGTGGCAGCTGGCACTATGAGTTGAATGCCAAACACTTGCTAAGAAAAATAGAGGGCCAAGTGGCAAGAGGCATTCCAGCCGAGCGCCAGGCACCTAGGCAAGTAAGTGGCAGCTGTCACTATGAGCCGAACGCCAAACACTTGCTAAGAAAAATAAAGGGCCAAGTGGCAAGAGGCATTCCAGCCGAGCGCCAGGCACCTATGCAAAGTAAGTGGCAGCTGGCACTATGAGCCGAACGCTAAACACTTGCTAAAGAAAATTAGAGGGCAAAGTGACAAGTGGCATTCTAGCCAAACGCCAGGCGCCTGAGCAAAGTAAGCGGCAGTTAGCACAATGAGCCGAACACCAAACACTTGCCAAAAAAAAAAAAAAAGAAGAGGAAGGAAGTTGACACAAAAAGTTTAATCAGAAGTCGGCCATCTCATTAATAAGGTTCACAAGGTTACAAAAAATGAGGTGTAAAGATGGCAAATATACCAAAGTCAGTACATTTAAAAAAAAAAAAAAAAAAAAAAAAAAGTTCTAACTAAGAGGCGTTTGCTTCGTCGGCCTCTTGATGATGTTGGGCTACCTCCTCATTATTGGTGGTGTCGCCATCCTCACGAGATGGAGAGTCGAGGTGAATGACAGAATCGTTCTGTTGAGTCCTACCCTCAACAGCGTTGGAAGAATTATTCTGCTGAGGGTTATCTTCAGCAGTAACGGCAGATGGAGTCAGAGTAGACAGAGGAAGAATGTCCAAAGTCAGAGCGGCAGGAGGATTAGGAGTGATCCGAGAAGACGCAATCTCCTGACATTCATCAAATATGCCCTCGGCAGTGGTGGAGTCTGGATCGGTATAAACACCAGGAGGATCAATATCCAGGTCCTTATCAACATCATCAGGGGTAGAGCCAGTCTGACCCTCATCCGGGACGCGATCGGCGTAACCCTCTCGGAACCCCTGAGCATATCTGAGGGCTCCAACTCTGGAGAACCGAGCATGTAGAGCCAACATACCACCATTTACCCTACTAATGGTATCAAATAAAGCGTTGCGCTCGTCCAAAGCCCTTTTCTCAAAGGCCATCCGAGCGGATTGCTCACCATTCAGAAGGCGCAGCAGTTCTTCCTTCTCGGCCCAAGGGATTCCCGCTCGGTCTGCCAGACGCTCTTTTCAAGCAGCAGAGCATTCCTCTCATCCTGAAGAGAGTCAGTCTCCTTCCTCAGTGAATCCCTCTCTTTTTCAGTTTTACCAAGTTGAACCATCAACCCGGTCTTCTGAGCAGCTAAATTATCGTTCTCCTTATTCGCTGCGCTAAGGCTGTCAAAAAGCGCGTGGACCTTGGCATTCACTTGCTCAACTTGCTTCTGCATAGCCATCATCCCGTACAAGGTCTGTAGAGATATACAGGACAACTGGTTAAGCCGAGCAGATGGTTAGAAGAAAATAAGTGTCAAGAGTATGTA